TAATATATATATAAATTATTTCTAACGATTATTAGAAATATGATTGATTCTTAAAAAAAATCTTTAATTGACAATTATAAATTAAATGTTTTCTGTTGTATTTTAAAAAAAAATTTAAAAATATGTATGGTGAGTGTATTTCTTAAATTAAGTGTATTAAGTATGGTAAGTGTATTTCTTAGATTTATTTTAATTTTGATTCCATATTTTCGATTGTATTCCTAAAAAAAATTGGATAAAAAAAAGTATGCTAATAGATAGAGATTTTGTTAATTTACTATTTTTAGGCAATAATTAATGAAATTGGCGGGAAAATATTTCTAAAAATGAATTATGTTAATCCTTATTATATATTAATAGATTTTCTTTCACTTTTTTTTTTTCCATTGTTATTCAATTTCTTGACATGTTAGAAATCATATTTTATTTTTTCCATTTGTTGTGTTTATTAGATGCTAATTACAATATTTATCAAACTCTTTAAATATCTAAAAAATCTTAATTTAAACCAAAACCAATAATTGAAAAAATTATTAAAATCTTTTCTAGATATATATGTAAAACTTAAACTGAAAAATAGAAATATTATACTTTAACATATATTGTCGGGTATATAGATAATACAAAAGTAAAAAATGACAATTATTTCAAAATGATTGAGCAAGAATAATTAAATGTTCACACTACAACAAAATGATCAAATTCCAACGGAAAGTTCAAATACAAATATATTTTGATGGAATTCCAACAAAATTATTTCGTTGGAACGAGTTTTTCATTGGAATTTCCATTGGATTTTGAAGATTCCAACGGTAGATTTTCCAACGGAAATTCCTACGTTAAAAACTGTTGGAAAAATAGGCGTTGAAATCATCAAATTCTATCTAGAATCCAATGGAAAATTCATTTCAACGCAATTTTGTTGGAATTTCGTTGGAATCATTCCAACGAAAGTTATACCATTGAATTTTCATTGTAATATATTATAGTAGGATTTCCCGTTGGATATAACATTTTTTTTGTAGTGTAAATTGTTAAATATTAAGAACTCAAAATAAAATAAAATTTATGTTATATAATATTTTTATATTAATCTATATTTATTTTCCAATTTAATTAATACAAGATTATTATACCCGTGCATCGCATGTGCCATATACTAGTATATTTTGATAGTATGTGGCAATTAAGTTGACCATCTTCCATCCACGTGAAAGAAATAGATGTTCGTGTAAGTTTCCAGAGGTTTATTTCTACAACTT